GGCCGGCGGGCATTCCTGGTTTGGGGGCCTGGGCGCGCGTCCCCCCGCGTGCATGTTCGCCGAGGGGGGGGGGCGGGGGGGGGGGGGGGGGGGGGGGGGGCGGGGGGAAATGGGGTGCCAGGAGACCGCAGTGGCTGGCCATCCTCTCCGGTGGCGGCCCCCCGCGCCCGCGCCCGCGCCCGCCCCCCCGGCCTCCCATCCCCGCGCAGCATGCCGAAGCACGCCGCACGCCGCACGCCGCGGACTCTGCCATCCCCCGCCGGCCGGCCCCTGTGTCGGCGCCGGCCACCTCCTCGACCGGCCGGGGGCTTCCCGGAAGAGGCGCCGGCGTGCCGAATCGGTGGGAGGCCTTTTTGCGGCTGACACCCCCTCCCTCCCCCCCGGGGGGGGGGGGGGGGAAGGGGCGGCCCCGGCGCAGGGGCGCTTGTGGGGCGAGAGAGGGGCTGATCGCGCCGAATCCCCCCCCCCCGGGTTGCCGAAATCCGGCCCCGTTCCGCTTGCCATTTTCCCATGACCTCGTCCCACAACCGGCGACTTGAGCCTAGGAAGAACACCACAGGGCCGAGGACAAACATCGCACCCGAGCGGCATCCTTGCCAACACAGGCCCCTGCCCCCGGCGCCTCTTGTCAACCCTGCCGGCGGCCGAGCGGGCGAGATTTCAGCCGGACTGGCCCGGCGTCTGACCGGCTCGTTGCCGTGCTGCATCCCCCTCCTCTCCTTCTCCTCCCCCCCCCCGCCACCTACCCTCCCCTGCGAGTCCCTCCCCCCCTTTCATCACTCCCTCCCCCTGTAAGCATACTGGCCTGCCAGCGTGCGTGAGGAGTCGCCCTCCGGGATCCGCGCCCACGGCGATCTTTCCCGCCCCCTGCCCCGGCTCGCGCCCCTCCCGGCCCCCGAGAGAGGGGGAGAGAGAAAGCGCACGCGCGCGCGCGCCCGGTAGCTGAGACTTGCCTCGCGCACACGCGCGCATACGCACCGGCGCCACAGGCAAAGCACGCCGTCTTTGCCCTCCTCGCCGACGCGTCCCGGCTTCCTGGGCCCCTCGGCCGACCCTCTTCCCCCGAGGTTCAATCGATAGGCGCGCCCGGACACATGGCCACGGTGCGCTCTTCGGTGCACCCTCCCGGTCCCCCCTGCACCCTAGACACCCCCCGCACACCCGCACGCATGCACGCACGCACGCACGCACGCACGCATGCATCTTGCGAAATGCTGCCGGCCACTCACACAATGTCCCAATGTGCACCAAGGCCCCGGCTGTCCCTTCAGCTGCGCTCTAACTGAGGCTGGTCTCCTGCTGCCGCTGGTACAGGCGCGCGCCGCACGGCCCTGTCGTTTGTGTGTCTCGGCGATCTTTCCCCTTAGCCCCCCCTCTTTTCCCTCCCCCCCTCCGCTCTCCTCGCGTGGCTCCTCTCCGGCCTTCGCCACCGGCCATCCGCCATGCCCCCGCCGGCCGATGCGAGGGACACCGGCCCCGGCGCCCCGGCGACGGAGGATCCGCAATATGTCTTCCGCTGGACGCCGGCGGTTGTCGGATCGCGCAACTCCACGGTGCGCCTGTCCCCCCGCCCCCCCCCCCCCCCCCCCCTCCCCCGGGCCTCGGCTCCCTTCACCCCCTTGACACCGGCCCCGGCCCGCCTCATCTCCTGACACTCGCGTGGCCGTCCCGCCCTCTCGGCCCCCTTGGCTCCAGGGCGACACGCCGCTCCACCTGGCCGTGGCCAAGAACGATGTGTCGCTGGTCCGCCTGCTCTTGGCCTTCGGGGCCAATCCCTTTGCCAAGAACCACGCCGGCAAGACCCCCGCCGGCCTCGCGGAGGAGCGTCTGTACACCGACATCACGCGCCTCTTCCAGGAGGATGTGGCTCGGCTCGGTACGCATACCCGCACCCGCACACGCGCCCGCACACACACACACACACACACACACACACACACACACACACACACACTGGCCGCTCGATGAACACCCGGGCATGCTTCGCCCCCTTCGGCGGACCATCGTGCTGACATTTCCCCCCGTCATCGACCTTCGCAGCCCAACTCTGCCGCGTGCGGCCCGGCCACATCGACCCTGACACCGGGCTCTCCTTGCTGATGAAGGCCTGCATCCTGGACTCGGTGGCCGCCATCGAGACCATTTTCCTGGCCTTCGAGCCGGGCGCCCAGCCGGTGAGCCATTCGCCGGCCGACAAGAAACCCCCGCCGCCGGGCACCGGCATCGCCGGCTCCACCGCCGGCACGGTCGAGGGGCCACCCGGGTCCGGGGTGACGGCCATCCGGCCGTACATCCTCACCCGCCCGCCGCAGCAGGTCCCGGCGCAGCTCCGGCACCTGGTGAACCATCGGTCGGCGTGTGGCTTCACCGCCCTGTCGCTTGCCTTGCGCGCGGGGGCGGTCAATGCCGCGCGCCTGCTCATCGAATTCGGCGGCGCCAGCGTCTCCGTCGACCAGGCGCCCCTCTTTCGCATGTCCTCGCCGAATCCCACCTCCCTGGCAATGTCCAACCGGTCCATCGCCTCCTCCGTCTCATCGGTCACTTCGGCCATCAGTGGTTCCGGCGCATCCGCCGGGGGGGGCCTCGCCGCGGGTCCCGGGCAATGCCACGGCACCTCGATCTTGGCCCTGACGCATGCCCTGCTGGCGGCCCTCGGGCACCAGCTTCCCAGCCCGACGGATTCGCTGATTTCCTCGGACCAGAGCGACTCGTCGCCGGACTGTGCCCCACTCTTGACGTTGGAAGGGTGGCCGGCGGCGGCGGCCGGGGGAAGCCCGGGCCCGGGCGCCGCCGACGCCCCGGCCGCCGGTGACCCCGGCAGTCCAGCAGCCTCCGTGGCTGGGATCCGGTCTCCGCGCATCGGGACCCGGCGCCTGTCCGAGAAGGAGGCCGCCCTGTCGGCCATGAAGCGCAATGGGCTGTCCGCTCGGCGGTCCCTGTCCCGGGCACGGCCCTTCCTCACCATCGACACCGATCCCTCGACCCTCTTTCGCACTGGGCCGCCCGGCCCCGGGCAGCCGTGCTACCCCGCCTCGTCAGCTGCCTCGGGGCAGGGGGGCGCCTCTGCCAGCGGGGCCGGGCACGGAGCCGGGCACGGCCCGGCCGGCCACCCGGCCGTCCCAGCGGGCCAGGCACGGCCCGGTGCCCTGGTGCCTGGGTCCAGTCACTTTTACAGCTTTTACCGCTGTGTGGATGGGGCATTCTCCTGCCTGGACCTGTTGCACCTGGTCGAGGCTCGTCTGTATGCCGATTCCATCGAGGTGCACCTCCAAACGCATGAGGTCCTGTCGACCGGCTCGCGCACCTCCTCCAGCCTGTCTCTTGTCGGTGCGCACGGTGCAGCCCAGCTGCCTCCGGTCCCTCTTCCTCCGGTCGCCCCTTCCTTCTACCTGCCTCTGCCTTGGCATGCAGGCGCACGCATGCACGCACGCACGCCCCGTCCCATGCACTCACCTTCCTGTGCCCGCCCCTTCGCCTGACAGAGGACCTGATGATCTCGGATCTCGGCCTGCCGCCAGCGCTGGAACCGCTGGCCGGCGCCACCTCTCTCGAGACCCTGCCCCGGTTGACGGTCGCCCCGGAGGTGGCGCCTGCGCCTGCCAGCCCCCCCAGCACACGCTCAAGCACGCTCTCGGTTGAGGTTCGATCTGTCGGCCTTACCTGGCCCAATGTCCACTTGCCTCTGCCTCCGGGGCCGAGGGAACGGCGGCCCCACGCCTCTCCCCGCATGCCCATGCTCACCTATGGCCCCTTTCTCTCCACACGGTCACATACGCACACGCAGGACGAACTCCAAAGCATCATGGAGCAGGTGGACCGGGAGCGTGCACGCACCACCCGCCAACGCCCCGCGTCGCGCACCATGCTCAGATCTCCCGCCCCGGGTGACGCCCCCCCCGGGCCCCGGGCCCCATTGGCCGGGGCCAACGGCAGCGCCACCACAGGCACCACTGCCAGCACGGCCACCCAGTGCACCATGCTCAGATCTCCCGCCCCGGGTGACGCCCCCCCCGGGCCCCGGGCCCCATTGGCCGGGGCCAACGGCAGCGCCACCACAGGCACCACTGCCAGCACGGCCACCCAGTCGCTGGACTCGCTGCTGCCGGAGCGCATGGCGGCCACCCTGGCGGCCGCGACTCGCGAACGCTCGCTCGACTCCCTGAGCCAGGTCCAACGGCGGCGGTCCTCGGTCGACCTGCCCATCAGCCTGACGCTGCTGGAGCGCCGGGCGACCTTGCACAGCCTCGGCTCCCTGGACCTGGCCCTGCTGGACTCGCAGGCCGGCCAGGCGCTATCCCTGTCGGATGCCTCGCTGCTGGCCGGGTCGTCGGTGGCATCGCTGGCCGGCTCGGACCCGACCGATGCCGGGCCCACCGGGGCCCTGCCCCCCGGGGGTGCCCTCTCACCGGCCTTCTCGCTGTCGCACCTGTCGGTCCTGCAGCCGGACCGGTCGCTTACCCTGCTGCTGGCACGCATCACCGCCCAGCTGGAGACCTATCGCGCGGACCATGCCCGGCGGAAGGCAGCCGCGGCCGCCGACCGCCTGGGGCCCGACTGCACCGGCGGCCCGGGCCCCGGGCCGGGCACCTCGTCGGCCGATGATCTGGCCCGCCTTCACCATCACATCCACCATCACATCCACCATCATGACCAGCACCCGGACCAGGACCACCACCAGCACCAGCACCACCACCGCCACTCGAGCGGGACCGCACGCGAGACCGACATGCCTGCCCTGGAGTTGACCCTGGTGGCGTCGGTTTCCTCGGATCTCGGGGACATCAGCTCGCTGGCCGGCGGGGCCGGCAACGGTGCCACGGCCTCCGGCGCCACGGCCTCCTCCACCAGCATCCTCGGCCTGTCCGGGTCGCTGTGGCCCATGCATGCCAGCGCTGCCGGGGTCACTGCCGCGGCCGGCGCCACGCCGGCCTACACGGTCCCGGATGCCCTGCTGGCCCGCATCGTGGAGCATATCCACCAACTGGTGACGGCCGTGCTGAATGGCTTCCGCGGGCAATATCTTTCCATTGCCACGCTTGTGTCTCAGGATGCGAGTCGGATCATCCAGTACGTAGCCGCCCCCTGGCATGCCTCCTCCCCCCCCCCCCTTCCCCCTCCTTGCTCCCTCTCTCCCTGCGCACGCACGCATGCACACACACACACACACACACATGCACACACACATGCACACACGCAGGCGACATGCATGCGCGTCTTTTGTCATCATTGCACGGGGGCCGGGACACGGGAGGGGCAAAAGGAAAAAACAAGAAACACGACCCGCTGCCGGGTGCTGCTTCACCCTCGCCACGCATGACCCCGGCCGCCATGTTGCTGACTTCCCCCGCAGCGAGGTTCGCATGGCCATGCGCGCGCGAAATGCCCTGCTATCCAACCTCAAGGCCCTGCCGGCCGGGGGGGCCCTGCTGCCCGGCGGGTCCAGCGATCCGGCCCTATCTGGCGACAGCTCGCACACGTCGGTCCGCGGGGCCGTGTCGCCGGACGATCTGCCGGCCGCGGCGTCGCCGCAGCGGCCTCCCACCGCCGGGGCCCGGGCCGGGGGGCTGGGCTTGTGTCCGGATCTCGGCTCGGCCCCCGGCATGGGGATGCCCTCCTCGCCGCGGCGCACCCCCTCCACGGCTCCGCGTGCTCTTTCCTTTTCCGGCTACCCGGGGACCGGGCGCGATGCCGGCCGGCCCGGGTCTCTGGATGGCCTGCTGGCGGCCTTGGATGTGCCGGACCCGTCCACCGAGTTCGTGGGCGGCGGTTCGCCATCCTCGGGATGCTCGCCACCGGGGCAGGCCCCCGGGCGGCTCTCCTCCTCGGCGCCGGTCGACTCGCCGATTCAGCAGTACGCCGCCGAGCCGGCCGGGCTGCCTTCCGGCTCGTCGCCGCCACTGTCGGCGGCCAGTCCGCTGGCAGGCCCGCAGGACCCGCTCGGCTCCAACCGGGGGCTTTCGTCGGCCCTGTCGTCGGCCCTGTCGTCGGCCCTGTCGTCGCCCTTCTCCAGCACGGCCTCCTCGCCGGATGGGTTTCAGCAGCTCCGCTCGGGCTCCGGGCACCTGGCCGACGCGCCGAACCACGCGCGGTCCCTCTCCGAAATCCATGGCAGCCATCCGCTGCAATTCTCCGGCGGCCAGCATCAGTATCCCCTGCTGGCTGATGAGGCGTCAGCCGACCGGCTGCTGGACAACCTCATCGGGCAGCTGGAGGCCTGGCGGCATGGGCTGCTGGTTCGAGCACGCCTGGCGGCCGGGGTTTGGCCGCCGCCACACACCCCGCGCATTTTGGTCCTCGAGGCATTGGACCTGCATGCGTCGGCCGTGGCCCTGGTGCAGGAGGCCCTGGCATCGAGGGTGTTCCTGCCGGATCGGCGTCTCTCCGTGCGGCTGCACTTTGCCGGGGCCGAGGCGGTGGATCTGGATGATTGGGATCTCGGGGAGCTCCGGTCGCCTCATCGCCGGCGGATGTCCGCCTCGCCGCGGGACTTCGCCTCGGGCGCCGGGTCGGGCTTCGGCTCGGCCGGCACGCCGTTCGCCATTCTGTCCCCGGCATCGGCCGCGAGTGGCTCGGGCCCGGGGTCTCCGATTCCCCCAGGTCGGTCGCTCCTGCCGGCCGACGAGCGTGGCCGCCTACACTCCGATGACTCGTCCCCCGGGTCGGCGGCCGCCGGCATTGGCGGCCCTGTGGCCCCTGCCGTGGTCGGCATCGCTGCCACCACTGCCGGTGCCGGCGCTGGTGCTGCTGGCGCCACCGCTTCGAATGCCGGTGCTGCCCCCACTCCTGCCGCTGCCCCTGTCGCTGCTGCTGCTGGTGCTGCTGCTGCTGGTGCTGCTGCTGCTGCTGCTACCACCACCGCGGCCGTCTCCGGCTCGGAGACCAATCTCACAGCCGCGCCGGCGGCTTCTACCTTGGCTGGCGCCCCGGCCACCCTCTCGGGCATCCTCCCATCCGACTCGCCCTCCCCGGCCCCGGGTAGCCACCTGGAACTGGCGATCGCCTGTTTGGATGGCGCATCGCCGGACATGACGCTTGAGCGGCTGGACTCGTTGCGGTCCTCGGAGCTGGGGATGCTCTCGGCACCGAGTTCGGCCTCGGCCACGTCGGCCGGCCCGGCCTCGGGGCTGCCTTCGCCGCTGGTGGGGCCGGGTACCCCGGGGCCGGCCGCCTCCAGTGGGGCCGCCTCGCCGGCCGGCCCGAACGACTCGGTCCTGACCCGGGCCTCGCCCGAATTCGGCCCTGCCTCGGGCAGTGGCCCGGGGCCGGGGTCCGGCGGCGTTGGCGCGGCGTTGAATTCCCCACGCGCCGATCGCACCGACCACGATTGGGCCTGGGCCATGGACCGGCCCTCGCCGGGGAAGGCCTTTGCCGGGGAGGAACTCGGCTGGATCTTCGACATCGGCGAGGACTTCGATGCGGGCGACTGCGATGACAGCGATGACAAGTGTACGTTTGAGTTGGGACATCTGCCGGATCCACGGGGCGGGGGGCAGGGAGGCGGGAGAGAGAGAGAGAGAGAGAGAGAGAGAAAAAGAGAGAGCAGGAGACCCAGCCCCTTCTCGGGCACCCACTTTCCAAGCACGCCTTCTGACGCCCCTACCACAGTTTCGAGCTTCTTCTCGCCGGTCATTTCGGAGATGGAAGCCCTGGTCAGCTCGCTGGATGTTCACACGCATGCCCTGGTCCGGCACCTGCGGCAACTGCATGCGGCCCGGCTGGCCGGCGAGCGGGCCCTCTACCAGGTCCGTGCCCGGGCCGTGGTCGAGGAGACCAGCCGCGCCATGCGCATGGTCCAGCTGTCGATTGGCCGGTGGCGCGAACAGGCGGCCACCCTGGCCCCGGCCGGGTCCCCGCCGCTGGTTGGCCTGTCCTCGGCCGCTCCGATGTCTCCGCTGCCGGTGGTGCTGACGGCGACGCCCGGGGCCGACCCGGCCGGGGGCCCGGCCCCATTGAGCCTGCTCATCCCGCCGGCTGTCTTTAGCCCACCGCCGGCGGCGGCGGCGGCGGCAGCGGCGGCGGCGGCGGCAACGGCGGCGACGGCGGCTGGGCCCGCGACCGCACCCGCCGGGGCCCTGCCGCCCGGATCGCCGACCGGCTGCTCCGCCAACGGTGCCAGTGCTCCGGCCCCCGTGCCGGTGACCCTGCCGGAGCTGGCCGCCACGACGGCCATCCTGGCCGGGGCCCTGCGGGACATCCGCCTGGAGTTGAACCCCCGGATTTTGGCCGTGTCAGCGGCCGGCCTGAAGCTCACCGAGTCGGCGGCCCTGGCCTCCGGGGTGTGGCCCCCGGCCGAGGCGGCGGACTGGATGTGCTCGGCGGCCGGGGCCCTGGGCGTGGCTTTCAAGGTGGTGGTCACCCTGGTGACGGCCTGCTTGCGGCTGGATCCGGACGCCGAGCGCCGCGCCGCCGGCCAGGGCGAGCTTGCCTGGGCGGCCTCCCTGCGCGGGGCGTATGGGACTCGATCCTTGCCGACCTCGCCGCAGGAGGCGCCCATGGGGGCCGGGGCCCTGCCGCTGGGCCCGGCCGGCCCGCCCGGCAGTGGCCCCGACGAGATGGACCTGCCGGTCGGGCCGCCGCTGCTGGCGTCACTGGACGGCATCACGCCGGTCCTCCCCTCCGGGCATGCATGCCTGCTGAATGTCAAGGCCCTGGTCCTGGCCAACCAGGCGTATGGCCGGGCGGCCCGGCGCTTCCGGGCCCGGCAGAATGCCCGGCACCGGCGGACCACGCGCCTGGCCAGCCTGGTCCGCCGGGCGCTGGAGGAGGCGGCCCTCTGTGAGGTCCATGTGTCCGGGGCGCCCGGGCCCGGGGGCGACTTCGGCACCAGCGTGGCCGCCGGGGTGGCCATCTGCCCACTCGCCCGGGCCCAGCTCCTGTCCGATCCGAGCTATGACAGTTACATCACCATCGGGGACTTGGTGCTGGACACCACGAGCCCGGCGGCGCTGGCGGCCATGGCGGCGGCCGCGGCCGGCGGCAGCCACGGCGACCTGCCGGTCAAGGCCGGCACCCCGGAGGCCCTGCTGGTCCGCCTGACCCATCCTCAAATCATTGATCCGAGCTTCCTCCGGGCCTTCCTCCTGTCCTACCGGTGCTTCATGTCGCCGCACCAGCTGCTGGCGGCCCTCATCCGGCGGTACAACCTCCTGCCGCCCTTCGACCTGACATTCCCGGAGTTCGTGGTGTTCGTGGAGCATCGGCTCATGCCGACTCGCATGCGGGTGTACAACACCCTGCGCGCCTGGCTGACCGGCCACTTCGCCGACTGGCACTCCTCCGAGGGCGCCGCCGGGCTCGGGGTCACCGGCCCCACGGCGTCGGTGCTGGACCCGGGCCAGGCCCCGCCGCCGGGCAGCCTGGCTGCCAAGCTCCTGACCTTCCTCGAGCGGCACATGAGCATGCACATGCCGCGCGCCGCGCGCACCCTGAACCGGCTGTATCGGGAGAACGTACGCACAAGCATCCATTCCCGGGCACTGGAGACGTGGGGGGGGGGGGGGCAGGGGCGGATGATTCCTGTTGCCTGTTGCTTGTCATTCCTTTTTCCGGCCCCTTTCGGGCCTCCCCTCCTGCGGTGTCCCGACGAGCCATCGACTGACCAACGGGATCCTCCTGGTTCCATGGGCGGTCGGCCTGCCTCCGGCCGGCTCTCTCTCTCTCTCTCTCTC